TTTTTTTCTTCTTCTTCTTTTTTTCGTCTTTTCTTTTTTGTTTTTGTTTTTCGTTAGTTTTCATCCCTGTTCGAGTCTAACGGAATAAAAAACGCTTGAGCATCGCGAAAAGCACATACATTATTCATGGGGAGTGTCATCGTGTAACTTTGCGATTCAAGTCTCACCCTTCTCCTCCTCCTCCTCCTCCTCCTCCTCCTTCTCCTTCTCCTCCTTCTTTTCCTTTTCCTCTTCCTTATCCCCGTTCCCTCACCTAGCATAACTCTTTTGCTCTTTCAAACTCACTCGTTCCAACCATCGACACAACATGTTCCAAAGCTTAAGTTGACTAAAAGCAGGAATACTTAATTGAAAAGCTTCATGAAACCAAATCGTTACGTTTAAAGTACATTACATTCGTGTCTACCTAGTGAATTGCTAAGCTGAAAGGCCAGCACGCAGTGTTTGCATGCTCATTAATGAGCACGACGTACGCTCATACTAACCCCCTTTTGCTTGCTTCGTACGAAGGTATACTCTCGCTTGTGGGATTGTGTTTAATCGTTTACCTACAAATCGACGAGTTTTAACACGAGAAGAGCACGTTCCTCCTACTATCAAAGTTAATCATTTCTGTGTTTGTTCTACGTGCAAAATCGAAATCCTCGAATTTGATAATAACTCTAACTTGTCTTCCAAAGTATTTCATTTGACAAATTATTATTAATAATAATTAAATTATCTAATTTGATTATATCATGTAAATGGGTGTCTGATAAGAGGATCTTTGCGTAAATTTCGTGCTATTTATGTTACATGCTTGTAGTTTTTCTTTCGGACAACCCATTCATATGATCAAAAAAAAACAAACTAGGATAAAATAATTATAATAATTATTAATAATTAAATGTTTAATTATGAGTCCAAGTTTTTTTCTTTTCTTGCTCATAATCAGATCGGTCATTACAAAATTAATAATTTAAATTAAATTGGACTTTCTTTGAACGGATATTGAATTTATTTCATGGAATTTACTCCCTTCCCCTTTCCCTCTACCCTTGTCATCTTAACAAGCTACAAGAAGTCAAAGAAAAGTTAGTCTATCGTCAAAACACACACGCGCGTCTACGTTTTTTTTTTCTTTCTTTCTCAGTCGTAATTTCGGGAACTATCCCGAAAAAGGGTTTTAAAAGTTACGACGAAATTAGGAGGGCCGCTTTTATCTCTGACGCGGATCGTTGCAGCAGGTCATAGTATCCGCTTAGTATCGTACTATCTCTCCTACCTGAAAACTTTTCGCTTGCTTGTGGTTTTAGTAAATTGGCTTGGCGAAAGTGAAACGAGCGTAACGACGACGATGAAGAGGACGTTGCTAGTTAGTTGTGTTGGTGGTGGTGGTGGTGGTGATGGTAGAGGATAAGAGGGAAGGGGAAAGAGGTAAAGAAGAGAATAGGAAAGAGTATAGTTGATAGGAGCAAGCAAACCAGAGAAAATTGTTCCTATTCCCTTTTTCTTTTTTTTTTGTACCAAAAATTTGCAGGACTTTCAAATTTGCATAAACATACCCCGACTGGACCAAACAATCCGCGAGAATTGCGACTGTGGGCACGAAAGGAAGGAAATAATTTTCTTTTATTTAACTTTGTTCCATAATGAACGCGTAAAAGTTACATTAGCATGATTATATTTTCTCTTTTTCAAATGTTTTTCATTTTCTTTTCAGATTTTATTTTTTTATTTTCATTTCTTTTTTTTCTTTCTTCTTTTTTTTTTTAAAATATTATATTTAAGTCACATGGCAAGAGCAGTAGTTCGATACAGTTCAAGTCGGACACGTTCAACCGGTACGTTTACTTTAAATTAAGAAAACATTAAACGATGAGAGCAGAGTGGAAAGTTTTGAAATGATTAATATTCGATATGAAATAAATGCGTTTGTAGAAATATTACGAATAACAGTTAATAATAAATATGATCGATAAAATTGATGGATAATGATTATAGAGACGATAACGTGAAAGAGAAGTACGAAAAGAAATATCATCAACGTGTTTGACGTTTCAGTGACATAATATTTAACGCCGAGCAATAATTTGAACGTTAATTAATGAATATTAAAAATTTGATCGATGTCCTAGAAAATTCAAAATACATTTAAATCGATAATAAATTTATTGCTAGTGGAATATATATATATGAAAAGCGAGAAAGAAAATATGAGGAAAATAATAAAATGAATTAATAAATTTTTTACATTCTTTTTCAATTCTTCTATTTTTATGACTAAAATATAAATATTTGAAATATTACTATTGTAATTTACATTGAAAATAATTTAGTCGATTCCATTCAAATATAATCTTTCGTTTTCTTTCTTTCTTCCTCTTTCTCTCTTTCTCTTTCGTTGCATTGTTCGGGAGACACTTTGGCTGGATAGGGATATACAAAAAAATAATGATTCCGATTAGGTTACTTCAAAAATAGCAAGTAGGAACAATCGATTACCATCTTGGGACGTTAACTGCTAGCTTTATTCCGATTAACGCTCACTATATGCAAATATATATGTATGTATGTATTTATATTACTTACACAAACACACACATAAGAAACATGAAACGTAGAATCCTGAAACGATGCCAAACGGAAATCATAAAAGCGTATTACACGCTTCTCCAAGCTCGAAGATATCGAGAGAGAAAGAGAGAGAAAAAAGAGGACAAAGAAGTGGGTACGTTAGCTTCTTTTTCTTTTTTTTTCTCTCTCTATTTTTTTCTTCAGCTCGTAAAAACAACGCAATAGCACTTGCCGTTTTTTAGACAATAGACTGGTACATACCGATAGGATAGAAAACTCTCAAACCGGGAAGAAGGGGGACTTTCGCGGATAAGAAAAACTGTATAAAATTCAAAAGAAAGGGCGTAGTACCGGGTACGTCTGACCAATGCACAACTTTTACTACTGCCGTGAACTCGTACCCGAAGTATCGAGTTAGGAATCTTCATGGTTTTCTTCCAACTTTATTACTTGAAATAAAGATAAAAATACGCCTTTTTTTCTTTCTTTATTATTATTATTATTATTTTAAAAAATCAACAGAGAAAGAGACAGAGAGAGAAAGATAAGCCAATAATAATTACAGTAATAAAAAAAGATATAGTAATGTTTTATGTGTATTATTTTAAAGATTTGCATAACAATAATTGATATATTGATAATTTCTTCAAAATTGACAACGATGAACAAATGTTACAATGAAATTTTTTTAATATCTAAAAAAGTAAATAGAAAATAAAAATAAAATTATCATTATCATTCTTTGATGTCTAATTATTCCTAATATTAGTCATAAAAAATAACTTGGTATTTTAACGTTTGACAATTTGATTGAAAGTGCAAATATTTGAACGAAAATGACGTTGGATTTTATTTAATCAATTAATCATCCCGGTATTTTGTATCTCCTAAGCAAATACCTTGGAGCATCGCTAAACACGAGATGGCTTTAGGAAATAGGGACGTTAGAAAGTTTCTTACGCGAGAAACGACGACGCGACTTGCCATTACGAAGAAGCAAGCTAGCTAGCTAGCTAGCAAGCAAGCAAGCAAGCAAGCGAGCATCAAGCCAGTCCATGTTCCCGTTGATGAAAGCAAAGAAGCGGAATGCATCGTGGGAAGGACGAATTCCTAACGCAGTTTGTTTTCTACCCCTAGCTGGCAACGACGTTACGAACTTTCGAAATAGTTGTTACCCTTCGTTTGCTCGGAAATACTTTTCAAAAAAATATGAATAGTAACATTTAAAGAAAAAGAGAGAGAAAGAGAAAGAGAGAGAGAGAGAAAATACAACGGCAAAAAATGATAAGAAGAATAATTGCTATGTCATGTTGAACAAATTTTATGGATAAAAATTCTTATGGGATTAGCGCGAATATAAACGTAGAATAAATATTTCCTATGATAAACTTTGCCTCAAATCGATTTTGCTAAGTAAGCATATAACCGACTTAACTCTCAGCATTTATTGAGTATACCTTTATAGTGTGCATGTGTATGTGTATGCGTGTGTGTACACGTACCTCAACATCGTTTTAAGTTTGGTTACGAAATTGTTCGGAATGGTTCGTAAAATATCACTTTGTGAGAAAGATATCGTTGTTATCTTTTGCATTTTTGTTTTACTTCTTTATTATTATTATTTTTTGTCTGTTTCTGTATCTCCATTTATAACCTCTCTGTCTCTTTTTCTATCTTCTATCTTTTTTGACAGAGAAGGAAATTGAACGAGAAATGTTTTTTTTCTATCTTCATATTCTGAAACTCGATGCGTTTCAATAATTCCATACCGATCGTAATGCATTATAAAAAAAGAGGATGAAAAATATGAAACTCGATATTCGGATGGCTTTGATACAAAGCAATGATTCGAACTTTTTAACTTTACAGTACGAGCCATTGTACGTAATAGCAATTTTTTTGCGACAATCCGTTCGAGCACGTATTATACGAGAACGAACTTTACTAGAAATAAAATAAAATAAAATTACATACATACACACACACACACATACACACACACACACACACACACACACTCTCTCACATATGTATATATTTACTTTGAATAAAACCCGTCTCTTTTTCTAATCGGATTTAAGATTATTTTAGTATAAACTCGTGATTGTGTTTATAGTCGTTTATATGAAAAGTGATATTGTATCTTTAAAAAAAATATATCCCCATCACATACACACGTAAAAAGTAATTTTGTTTAATTAACATGTTATTAACTGGGACGATTTTAATGAGATTACATTGAAAATTATTAAACGTTGCTCAAATTGAATGTTCAATAAACTTTAACACACTTTTATTTTCACACCAGAGCAAGTGTTTGAAAAAAAAGTTGTTGTATAATTTTTTTTCTTCTCATCGGTTCGAATAAAAAAAAAAGGAAAACTTTTTTGAAAAAGTTTTCTTTTCGAGTACACAGGTATACGGGTTCGTTATTAGCGACTCACCTCTCTTGGAAGCGTGAAAACTGTCTTGAGGTTTTATCTGTTCAATCTGAGCACTAAGACGAGACTTGGGCAGGATGTCCCTGTTGGCGTTGATTTTTTCTACAGCGTAACGAAAGGCCACTTCCTGTTTGTCGTCGGACGGATGAAACAGCCCACCTGGGAAATCATACAACTATATTAATGCTTCACGATACTCTATCTTTATATTTTTGACGATGAATTCTTACTACAACTCTTATTCGTCTTATCTTTTTTTTTCTTCTTCTTTTATTATTCTTTGTTCATAACCTACACCGAGCTATCAATTGACCCTAACAAAATTGACCCTTTATCTTCGACCATTTCTGTTCTCTTTATCTCTCTCATTTTTTATTTTATTCATTACACGTTCTTTGCCTATCTATATTTTTTTTTCTTTTTCTTTTGTTCTTATTCTTCAGAAATACAAAGAAAAGTGTTACAATCAAATATTAATAAATAACTAAATATATTAATAAAATGTAAAGATAATCTCAACAATCTAGTTACGATGGATTACTAGTTCCCTTTAGATCATTATAGTTGAGCAACGTCATATCCAAAATGGCAATAAAAATACTCTCTTTGGTAATTATTGTATAGCGTGAAGAGATTTTAGCAGAGAAATAACTCGAACCCGTTAGGGGAACAGTAAAAAATAAATAAAAACATGAATACAAATAATTTTTTATTTTAATATCTAATATTTGACTTATTGAGAATAAATTTTAAGAATTAATTGTTTTTTTTTTTAGGAACTTATTAGTCGTTTCATAATTTGTGTTTCTATTTTTATTTTTTGGATGTATTAAAAGTAAAAGTTAAACGGGTCGAATTATAATCGTAAGATTTGTTGAATCGAAATTAGATCGTAGTGAAACGTTAATGAGAAAGAAGAACGTTTGCTAAATCTATTGACCTTTCCTCTACTACAAGATCGGATCATCGAGAATCAGCTTCGATATAATGAAACTGGAATATTTGCAAAGTTTCCACTATTGAACGACGATGCTATTGGCGACCTAGTTTTTGAAAAATTTTTTCCCTATTAAACTTCCATACTTTCTCTTGATCGTAACAAATGATCGTTAATTTCAAAACGATCGGACTAAAGTAACTTAAAGTAAGTTTACAAAGTTGAGGGCCAAAATGCTTGATAAAGTAGATTCTTTAGCTTTGGAGTAAATTGGAAATTATTTCGACGACGACGAGGTAAGACGACAACGTTGGTCTTTTATCGTTGAGAAGAGAAAGGGTGAGAAGAGGGGGGGGGGGATGGCTCGATGTTATATTTCGTCGGATTTGTGCGGAGTTATGCCATAAATTGATTTTAATCTCGTGTACGTCATAAAGTAACTGTGAGCGTGAGCAGCTGCGCCAGTTCGCGAACCTATACGATTTATAGAATACCTGCGATAGATAGGTAACCTGCTTGTCTCTCTCCTTTCTCTTTCGCTCTATTTCTCACTCTCTCACTCTCTCTATTTCTCTCTATCTCTCTCTCAGTGTTTCGTTTTATTAGATAATTAATATCCATCGAGGTAGATAGCATCGAAATTGCAGTAATCAAGCTGACGGTAGAGGACTAACGTTGACGATCTAAAATCTCGTTAGGTCAGCGATATAATTTACCAGAAAGTCTAACCAACGATAAGGAATAATGATCTACGTTATCGCATCAAAATGATTGATAGTTTTTCTTTTCTTTTCTTTTCTTTTTTTTTTTTTTTGAATAAAAAAGATTTTTTACACGGACAAAAATCGATCTAACGTGAAATTTTTGGTACTGAATTGAGATTTAGTTTCTAATATGTGATATTAATTTTAAAATATATTGTATTGAATTAATAATATATAATTTTAGTTAATAATGGGCATGGCCATTGACAATAAATTATAATTTTGAATAATTTATTATATAAACTAGTTAACAATAATTAAATTTAATAATTTAATAATTTGTTTAATGTACATAAAAATAAATACACTTCTATCTACGACGTGAAAATTATGTGATTTAACGTTCAGTGTTTTTATATTTTTTTTATAGAGATATAAAAAAGATGAGACGATTAAATTAATTTAGTAATAAGAGACAATTTTTTGTGAATTTTGACGTTGACGACGGGTGAAGTTAATCTGAGTCTTTTTTCTTTATTTATTTGAAATTTTCTTTTTTTCCTTTACTTCTTTTTTTTCTCTAAACGAAGAACGTTTCAATTCGGTGCATCGTATATCGCGAACGTAGAGGAGAGATTGCTTTTTCCTATCGAGAGAAAGCCCTCGAATTAATAAACCTTGAATATTCATTGATTTTTAATGAATTATTTTCTACCGGTTGAGCGGTCAGCCAGGCAGAACGTAACGTGGCTTTTGCTGCTGTTTCGTTTCGTTTAGTTTAGTTTCGATCTCGACTAACCTCGGTTATCCTTTCATCGTTGTAACAAAAAAAAAAAAAGAAAAAAAGAAAAATAGAGAAAAAGAGAATGTAAATGAATTTTGCTTTTCGATACGTTCGAACGTATTATAAAGAAGGATATTGAGGTAATTGTATATTGTAATTCGGATATACATTAATTAAATGCACAGGGGTTAATGTGATACGATAAAATATTCAAAGGCGTGCTTAAGAACAAGATTGAACAAGTTATTGTTGTTTTTTTATTTTCCCCCGTAAAATGTAGGAAAAACAAAATGGTTGATAAAAACCTTCGATGAAATGTTTTATTTAATCCTTCTCGTTTATTTTCTACTACGTTTTATCGGAACATTTAATTGGCAATTATTATTTGCGCAAATTAATTTATTTAACACGTGCATTTATTTAATGCAATTAATTCGTTGAGCTTTTTACAGGTCTTTTTTCCTTTTTTTTTTTTACACCCTTTCTTTTTTCCTTGCATGCTGTTAAATTATCGAGAAACTTTTGCAAGTACTACGGCTTTGTTCGACATATCCTTTTCCACTCGATGATGTGACAATGTGATAAACGAGGACATGTGTATACTTGAGAAAAAGAGAAAGAAATCCAAGCAAAAGAAACTCTACGTGGACGTGAGAATGGTAAAGAAACACTGGTTTAAAGAGAGACTTTTAATTTAATGAGAACATTTAGTAGTCACAATTGTCATTTACAGGAAAAAAAAATTTTAATACAATTACGTAAAAGTTACCTTACTAAAAGAATAATTAATTGAACAAATTACAGATTTTATAGAATCAGTGTAATAATTAATCAATAAAACAAAATTTGCAAATTTTTCATTTCTTTGAATGTAATAATCACAAAATAAAATAACAAGTTGGACAAATAAATTTATCTGTTCTTAATTTTCTTTTAAAAAAACAATTATACAATTACGCAATTAAATATCAAGCTTGAACAGATAAAATTTATTCCTCTTAATGCACATAAAATTATTGTTATTTCTTTTTAAATTTATCGCGTTGTAATCTCTAATTAAATATTGTTTAGTAATTAAGAAAAGAAAAAACTAATCAAATTATCAAATTGCTTATTAAATTAACGATTTATAATTCGAGGATAAAAGTTGTAAAGATTATCGGCAAAGGTTATAAGAAGAATAATGGAAAAGAATTCCCCTTCTTTTTCTTCGTAAAAGTTTAAAGGAACTTAGAAAAGATACTCACCTATCCTAATGATATCAGGAAGAGCCGTGGCATGGGCGGCGAGGAGCGCCAGTAGGAGCCACCTCGCAGCCATTTCCGGTTCCGGTTCTCTTCCCCACCGTTTCTCTTCCCTTTTCCTCACCCTTGTAACAACTGCCACAACCAACACCAGCACCACCAGCACCACCACCACCAGCACTACTATTACTACCGTTACCACCACCCCCTCCTCTTCTATCCTTCTTCTTCAACGACTATCCTCGTCGTCGTCGTCGTCTACAGTTTCTCTCTTGAACTCCCTCGAAGAAATTCACGCTCCTGAAAAAACAAGATGGGGTTGGCGAGTTCATTAAAATGCACACCGCAAAACTTCACATCCGTTCTGAATATCTTCTCTCTCTCTCTCTCTCTTTCTTTTTTATTCTTTTTATCTATCTTTTACGTTTGAGCCAAGAATCGTCTCCTCTGATGGCGCCACAACGAGTCGTCTTGATCGACGTCTCTTTCTTTTCCTAGTCTTTCGTCGTTTAGAAAGAAAGAAAGAGAGAAAGAGATAGATAGATTCTTGTAAAGTAGAAAACTCGGGAAAAAAATACACTAGGAATGGTTGACGTTAATTGACGAGAAAAATTCTTGCCAGGGTAGTTTTGTTTTCTCGTTATAATTAAAAAATGATATTTTCGATATTGTTGAATTGTTTTTATATGATCAATCTATCGATAAGAATTTTTCAAAATGTAATTTAATATTTAATTAATTATATTTTTCAATACGTTTCCGTGTCATGTGAAGCGTATGCGCCTCACGTTTAATTTTTTGTTTGAGACATTTGGTATTATCATCGTAAAATGAAGAGTAATGTTCAGCAACGTGTTCGTTAAAATAATTTCTAGAAAGAATAAATTTATTGCTTTTGTTGCCTTATGTATCGTAAATTATGCACTCTTTTCTTGATAATTATAATCTTTGTATTATTTTATAATATATAATTTCTATATAATATAATAA